AGAATTTCATCGCAGACTAGCGTGAAGGTTTAGATTAGAATTGGTATGTGGCGCGACATATAGCTGTTATTTTATCTAAGTATATTAGTCGGCGCCGCAATTTCTTATACGTAACGAGCGTTTGAAGAAAAGAAAAGATAACGTAAAATGTTTGGGGCCGAACTGAACGCAAAATGTGGTATTTAAAGTAGCACTTGTCGCTTTCTTTCCAAGTGGTCGACTAGTTGGAATGTGAGTCTTCGAATGGATCAACCGAGTTTGAAATGAGTACATCTGTTCAGGCCTATCATCAACTTTTGTCCGTTCAAACCGATAATGTTTGTGAAATCTCAGTGAAACAAACGAAATGAAAATAATAGGGCTCTTACTGATGGGAAGATATAGTACAGTTTACTGGAATTTCACAAACATTATTGGTTTGAACGGACTGATGTTGATGATAGGGCTGAACAGATGTACCCATTCATACTCGGTTGATCCACTCGAAGACTCATCATCTAGTTCCATTATTTCTGTCTAAATAGAAAAAAACAAACAGAGCGCCAAAACTGCTTGAAGAAAAATAACCTACAAGACATACTTGTTCATCATTATGAATTTCATCTGAATTTAGTCCTTCACACGTTTGTTTCACTGGGATTTCACAAACATTATCGGTTTGAACGGACAAAAGTTGATGATAGGCCTGAACAGATGTACTCATTTCAAACTCGGTTGATCCATTCGAAGACTCATTATCTAGTTCCATTATTTCTGTCTAAATAGAAAAAAAACACACAGAACGCCAAAACTGCTTGAACAATAACCTACAAGACGTACTTCTTCATCATTATGAGCTTCAACTGGATTTAGTTCTTCACACATTTGTTTCATGATTTGATCGAACTCAGGATTATTACGTTTCCACAGATAATGTGAATTACGGCAGCGATTACAAATTCGACAACTCTGCTGAAGCGTTTTCAACGTTCGAATCGAAATAAACAGACACATTGGTTATTGCGCTTGTTATTGCGGCGCCCACTAATATACTTAGATAAAATAACAGCTATATGTCGAGCCACATACCAATTCTAATTTAAACCTTCACGCTAGTCTGCGATGAAATTCTCTATCGAATGGTATATGTATCGTCGTGGCTAATGGAGAAGTGTGGAGCACAGGATGGTCACCGTTGAATAAATCAGCCACTTTTCACGGCTTTGCATAAAGTATTTCTAATGTCAAGGTGCCCTAGGACACCTTTTCCACTACTTTGTACATATGAAATTGTAGCGGGGGAAATTCTCTATCGAATGGTATATGTATCGTCGTGGCTAGTGGACAACTGTGGAGCACAGAATCCTCCCCGTTGAATTAAACTCCCACTTTTCACTGCTTTCCAGACAGTATTTCTAAGGTCAAGCTGCCCTAGGACAGCTTTTTCACTACTGTATATATGAAATTGTAGCGGGGGAAATTCTCTATCGAATGGTATATGTATCGTCGTGGCTAGTAGACAAGTGTGGAGCGCGGAATCCTCACCGTTGAAGAAAGAAGAGCAGAACGTTGGTTTCAGTAAATTCGGCCTAGTTTTTTCTGAGAGCTTTTCTAAGGTCTGCCAAGCGGCTAGAAATGTTCTCCGTTCATTCTGCATCTAACCATGTATGTGTCGATGGAATTCAAGCAGGGGCCGATTTCATCAAGTAATCGCCCCCGTCCTTCTCTATGTTAAAAATCAAATCTACTATTTCATACATGTATACACCTATTAATCTTGGCGCCTATTGTAAAAATTTTCGTCTTTTCATTTATCACTGCTGAGAACTCAACCGATGCATATTTATCACCAAGGTATTAAAAGGCCAAGCAGTGATGCAAAGAGATTTTTCATAGGGATAACTATTAAATGAAATCCTGCAAAAAATAAAAAGTTTAAGTTTCGTAAACTAAGAGAGTATATGTTGTTTAATGCATGACATGCAGTGGAATCTGCTTGAATTCTGGTATAGTTTCTAGAATAAAATACAGCGTTCACAATCATATCAAGTCATTTTTGTTGCTTGCATTGTAAGAAAAGTGAAAATTCCTGAATGCTTTCAGCGTTATTTTCGCCATATTTCTCTTTAGCACTAGAAGATATTTTTTATCATAATTTATCTGCTATCTCTAACAAATTTAGAACGTGTTGTGGAACATGGTGTAACACTTGAATTACCTTATGCATTATCTGAATGTGGCGAGGCCAACGAAAAAATCCACGTCAAGCCGGAGCGAATACAACCCAGTTCATCCATAGTCATTATTCGCCATGGTTATGATTGCTATAAAATGCGTGGATGGAACGTTCACGATGTGACAATCCTGGATGAGTTAAAAAAATGGATGAGTCGTCTGACTGTGGTTGACCTTCATATGGAAAAACAGGAAGATAGTTAGTTGTTTCTAACTATCGTTGAGTTTTATCCATAACTTTCTTTATGTCTTGTTTGAACGAAAAGAAAACCATCAAGAAGCGTTCATTTTTTGAATTTTATCACTAACAATGGAGGTGTTTTTATCGTAACCGAGTTAGACTTGCTATTTTGGCGTCAAAAGAAAGCACTCATCGCCAAACTAACAAGGTTAAAATATTAGCGGCTGTTGTCGTACCATAAGGGAGACATTCAGTTTTTACGGTATTATCGGTTGGGGCATACAAGTATATTAGGATTATTTACATTAATTTTTTATACTTCCACTGAGTATTCCAATAATAGATTGCAAGAATCTTTCTGAACTTTATCAATAGCGTTAAGATTACAGTAATTTCGGTGTCTTGTTTGAACTTAAGTGATATCAATATGGACAAACATCAGTTAATAGTCTAGTTATCAGAATCTTTAACTCATAAATAGTTTCGATTTTATTTCAATCGAAAACAATAGATTGTATAATATACTATTTTAACCAATATATTACAAGTGCAGATACATATTTTCAATCAGATGATAGTAACAAAGAACTTTTTTGCACCAAGCACACATTAATAATGTTCATTCGTTGCAGTTCCTAATTGAATGGTATAGATCGTAAAATTTGAAGCAAATATCTTTTGGTTTGTCTATTTGTTCTTTTGTTTCATTTATTATTCCAGCTTGTTGAAACCCATTCTTAATGAGATATATCAGTTGTGGAGCTGATAATTGATTGTGAATAACAGAATGCATGTTGATGAAACATTGACGATCACTTATGGCGATTTGCTGTTCGACTGATATGTGTATAATGTTCGATTTTTTCATGAATAAATCGCCAAGAACGAAAGAAAGAAAGACCTTGTGGTTGAATATAATCGGTTAATCCTTCGGGAAAAATCAATAGTTAACTGTCTTGATTAGAAAATACTCATCTAAATTTTGTTAGATCAGCTTGAGTTTTCCAAGCGTCACGGAAGAGAAGAAATTTTTATTTTCATATTCATTTTTGTTTTCTGTCAACATTGACGCGACCAGTCGATAGTACGATGCTAACCATATTCTTTATCTTACTTTCTTTCAATCTCTTCATCGATTCTCACCAGCAAGGTCAGCAGTATCGACGAAACGCTGTATGAACTCTTGGTTTTAAGCGACACACCTAAAAAGAACTATTCGACGATCGAACTTCGAACGAACGAGATCAAAAGCAAAAAATTGAGTATGCAACTACGTTGGATTTTTTCAACTTTCTGGCATACTCAGAAAACGTCGAAACATACCTGGTTTTTAATCGATCTTGCCAGTAATATTTCATGAACATTTGGATCACAAAGTTATATTGTATTCTGTCGCAGAGGGCGAACTACTTTTCAAGCAAACATCCAAAACGTGTCACGGGCTGTAGTAAGAAACGCACCAAATCTTCCATATTCGGGAGGAATCGATTCACAGCTTCACTGCAGACGACATGATAATACAAAAGAGTACTAAGTTAGATGATGAAAATTGAGAGGTTTTTTAGAGAATGAATTGAGATAACTATACGACTATCTTCGCACTTTACACTTTCAAATATAACAAAAGAACAGATGACTGCATATTTCGTCCTAGTAAAAGTTGAGGTCATACATGAAAGATGTGCTATGTAAAGAGTAATCTACCGTTCTGTGGCCAATGTGGCTTCCAATAAGATTTTTAAAAAATACACTTCCTCTCTAAACAAGAAAGAAAAAACAGATAACAGTTTGTTTAAATTTCGCTGGTCAAAAAAGTTAGAGCCCAAATACTAAAAAGAACGAGACCTAAACACACATAGTTGAAAAAGTTTTGTTCCTCTGTTTTTACAAGCAATTTCTGGATGAGATATGGATAGATGTGAGGACAACTCATCGTCCTTTATCCAACCATATGACTAAAGGTTGTTTTCTGTGTGTGTGTGAGTAAATTTTGTGTGGTTGTATGTTTACGAATATCATCTAGCCATCTAGCCAGAAAAAAACATGGGTGGTTGTGAAAACAACTCGGCATCTTCTATCCAACCCTGTAATTAAAAGTTAGTTTGTGGATGGTTATGGATGGGAGCGTAATTTACAAATACCAAGCTGCCATCGTTTAAATTCGAAAATCGAAAGTTTGTGTGAGTGCAGTTTTGTGTGAGTCTTGTCTTGTAGAGTTTTTTCTTTGCTACAAAACCTCATATTTAGATATTTCTTGTTCGAAACACGAAGCTGTTTCTTTCACCATAGGTACACAATAAGAAATATCTAAATATGACGCTTTGAAGCGAAGAAAAAGCTCTACAAAACAAGACTCATGTCTGATAGAAATGCAGGGTGTTCAACTGCATCGGTTTCGATAAAAATTCAGTTCGAAGGCGATCGCCGTCGATCGTTGTGAATTTTGTTGCTACCAGTTTTGGGATATGGAGCGTCAGTTTGTGGAGGGAATCAACTTTTTCCAACA